AATTATACAACATCACACTAGACCAATTCAATTTCGAAGTAGATCCATTGCAAGTCAAACGGTCGAGTTAAGAGGATGCAATCAAATTTTCTTCACGAAATTTAAGACAGTCGAAATTGAATGCATATTTTCAGGAATCGCCTATTCAGCACTATCAGGCGTTGCACCAGTTTATGGTCTTTATTCGTCATTTTTTCCGGTTCTGTTTTACATGTTCTTCGCCACTTCAAGACACAATTCTATTGGTGAGACAATTCTGAGACATGCAATCTGTTCAGTTAGCATTTGATATCCATTGACATATGTGGAAGATTAGGCTCACGTATGATCAGAAATTGGCGTTACTGTGGTTCGGCTCTGTGATCAATCACTGATGGATCACAAAACCTGAACAAAATGGACTCCCGTAGCACAGGCTGATACCTGAAGAGACTAACAAGCATTTGTTCAATGCGTTCAATACTCATGAAAGAAATGCTTTAACCTGAGCATCATCCGATCTCAATCCGTCACATTTACCGAATCACAATTTCAGGCTCTTTTGCCGTCGTTTCATTGATGACAGGCGAAGCCAATCGTGTGATCATGACCAAATACGCAGCGTTTTCAACTAATTCTACTATATCTTCAACGCAGATAGCTCATTTAAGACCGATTATGGTTGCGTCAACTCTGACATTTGTAGTGGGAATTGTTCAAGTATGAAACAATTCACATTTGATTTGTAATAGAGTGTGATCTTCGCTTAATTCAATGACGGTATCATTCTCAAAGAAGTTTGAGGAGAGATGATGAGAAATTGATTTCAGTTCGCCGCTGGCTTTCTACGACTGGAATTTATTACGGCATATTTCTCGGACCAACTAGTTGACGGCTTTATCACCGGTGCAGCATGCATTGTTATTGCCGCACAAGTCAACGACGTTCTCGGCGTGAATGTGCCCGATGTGACCGGGCCTGCCTATACATTTAAGGTGAATGCGATCAGTCTTGTGTCAGCGATAACAAAAAATCACTCAGTTATCGCCAGAAAATGACGGACAGCTTCGATGCAGTTTAAGAAGAGATTCATAATCGTATCATCGTCTGTTGAATAAAAAAATATCATCAAAGTATTTCATTTGATATAAGTTCTTTATTATTTGGCATTTTCATATAATTTGGATATTTTCAGCGTTTTTACGATGTACTTTCGCAAATAGCACAATCAAATGTATGTACGGTCATTATATCAGTTATTTCGTTTGCGTTTTTGTACGTTGGCAGAGACTTCATAAGTCCGTATGTCACTAAGCGTTTTAAAATCAAGATACCCATTCCTTATGAACTGATTCTGGTGAGTGCATTCTGAGTTATCATCCATAAATTTGCTTGAATGATTATCACCGAACAACCGGAACCTTTTCGTATTGCCAATTAATTTACGTTCAGTTTTACTTTTCATTGAACAAACGAGTAAAAATCTATTGAGAGAGAATTCTCCATTGGAAGCATTTGAACTTTTTTGATAACTTAAAATTATTGGAATTTACTGAGTTGAATTATTCGAAAAAATTGTGTTTTCATTTGTATAAATTGAACATTGGGATAGCTTGCATAAGGTAGTCTTGTGCGACCATTGTAAGACAATTTCACTACTGTAAGACATCGATCAAAACTGTTGATTGGTCAAATGATGTATATTGCATATCAGAATTTGTCACATCCCACACTAAGTGAAGTTCAATTGGTGAGAGAGTCAAGTAGGTAAAGCAATACCTGAAGAAACAATATTTGTAAACAAGAATGCAAATAACCACTAGACAAATCACGTATTCTCGATCACAATAGATAATAGCATCGTAATATTGCCATTAAACTCAATGTGTACGTTCATATATCTTTACTTGGTAGGTTATAATAACAACCGGCATTTCCTACGGGTTCAGACTCGATCAGCGATATGGAATGGAAATTGTTGGTGATATTCCAGCCGGGTAAGTCAATCGCTGACCACATTTAACTTTCTGATCGCTGCTTGTTCACCGCAGTAAAAGACATGGTACAATTATGCCTTTAGTTACAAAGTTGGAAGTTTCTTGTGGGAATCCCTCGCCAGTATTTACACAATTTGCAAGCAAAAATTCAGTAAGTAATTGAACTCCCTTTCAGGATGCCACTCCCTCAAGTTCCCGTTTTTTCAATTTTACTAGATTGCCTTCCACATGCCCTCAGTATTACAGCCGTCATAATTGCGGTGCACATATCAATGGCCAAAATGTTGGCAAAAAAGATGAACTATGAAATTGATTCTAGACAGGTACGGTATGATTTTTGATCGGTCATTACGCAGCGATTGACTGGCCTGCATCGCATTGCAGTCATGTCAAACCTCTGGTAGTTTCTTTCTTCGAACACAAATGAGTCTAATCGTTTTTAATCTCTGTTTGAATCCGAATCTAAAAGTGAAATTGTTACCGTATGAAATGGATTTTTGGATGATTCAATAGGTTTGCGATGTTCTTCCAAGGTGGTGACGCAAAATTATCGTATGGCTCCATCAGTTACCCATTAGTGTGGAATCAGCTGATCTAACGGATTTTGAATTTCAGGAACTATACGCACTAGGTTTGTCATCAATGTTGGGTGGTTTATTTCCCATATATCCCGTATCGACGGCGATGGGTCGCACGATGGTTAACGTTGAAAGTGGATCAAGAACACAGGTGAGGTGTTCCGGCCGGAAATTTTCGAATTCTGTCCAATGAGACAGATGATTTGCGACATTTGAAAACTTCAACTGATCGTTTCGAATTCTTCGTCGATCTTATGCTTATCACCGTCGAAGTTCGACGATGTTACAGTGACTGATTTCCCATACTTTTTCAGCTAGCAGCTTTATTCAGTTGCCTTCTGCTATTGATAGTGATCTTGTGGCTAGGACCCTTATTGGAATCATTACCTATAGTAAGTTCATTATATTAATACTCTGAAAATTTTATTTTTTGTTTTCACGGTTCTAATTCAGCTTCAATGACTCGAAAGCATATTAATTGCTGTGCACTAGAAGGTGCGATATGATGTCTTATGGCCGAAATTGCCGATGAATCAGAATCTGGAAAGGATTTGAACACGTTTCGAGCTGTGTTCCTCAAAAAGCACCATTTCTGTTGAGGTTTCAATATCAATGCAAATCATTTCAGTGCGTTTTGGCAGTGATTATTATCATGGCACTTCGTTCGTTGTTTGAAAAAGTCGACTATTTGAAAAATCTCTGGCATGGTTCAAAAATTGATTTGGTTAGTTTCTAAATCAAGACGTCAACAATCTTTTATTCATCAAATGTGATTCCTTTCTTCGATCGCTTTCCATAAATGCACACTTCCAGCTGATTGTGAGTTCTGATCATGTGATTCTGTTCAAATGTTGACTTTCAGCTCCATGAATTCGCGAAATTAAATATTTTTATGAATTTTTTATTGGTGCTGCGAAACTTTAAAGTTTTTCAGTTGACTTGGCTTGTGGCATTCGTTACAACGGTAGGACTTGACGTTATGAAAGGTCTTGTAATATCGATCATTTTCGCCTTATTGACGATCGTCTTTCGATCACAATGGTTCGTTGAAGTCATTCCCTCTAGATCTTTCAAGACAAAATTGGACTCCAGAACGATTCCATATCGTTTTCAGGAATCTTTCCCATTGAAGAACCAAACTCTGAGCGTTTATGTTCATTCATTTATAATTTTTTTACATTCTTCTTGCAATCCGTACATACATAGATATAAACTACTGAATATTATCAAACCATCATAAGTTACGAACACTGAATCATAAAACACATTCGTACCGGTGAAATTTCACAATATCAAACTAAGTATAACTTGACTCAACGTATTATACGGTTCCATAATTCAGTCGAATATTTCAGGCCTAAATCCGAAACGCTTGCTCCAACAAGGGGTGCAGAAGATTTTGAGAACTTGCGAAGATATAAAGCTCTCTCTCAGTATCCAGATATTCACATATTCCGATTCGACTCACCGTTATTGTTCCCGAATGTTGAGAACTTTAAAGCTAAGATCCTGAAGCAGATCAAAAGCTGGAGTGACGGTGATTCAGACACTAATGACTCGGTCCCATTTCTATTTTCATACCACCATCGCCAATCACTTTTTTTTCTTTTCGTCGTCTACAATCACTTTTTTCGTTGCCTACAAAAGTTTGTATCATTAAACTCTTGATTTCGTTTTGTCGTCCCTTATCGTATTGCTTCATCTTGCATTGAAACTGTCACGAAACTGTCGCATGTGGAGAACAAAAGTGATCACCTTTTGAGAACTTTTTATGAGGTTGATTATGACGATTGAAAGGAATCACTGTTCAGATAATCAGTCCTATAACAAATACTCCTTCGGCTACTTTATCTGAATTTTCGATGAACTAGGAATAAATCACCCCATTATTGCACTCTCATCATCATCATATAAGAAATAATTTCAAGTATATGATCCAGTATTAATTAATTCTATACTTATAAAATTGTCATATAATCATTATTGCTTCAGGTTACTGACAGACCTGATACTAAGGAGACATCGAGCATGAAATTCATCATAATTGATTGCTCGTGCATATCATTTATCGATTGCATGGGAGTGAATGCACTTAAAGAGGTGAGCTGAAGGAGAATTTCATAGATGGTGGGAACAGTGTTCATGAATGAATCAGAAATTTTTGATCCGGATTAATCTGTAGCCTTTATAATTGGCTGAAGGGAACTAGTGTTTATTTCAGGCCGTCCATGATACTAAATCTCGTCGTGTTACATTGTTGTTGGCGGCTGCAACTGGCACGTTTTAATTGCTTCTTTCAATTGGACACGAATTTGTCTCAAAAACGAAATTTGCTCTTTGACGTCGTTTGCTCTCAGATTTCAAATTTGCTCCTGAATCATTCTACTCCAATTCTAAAAACAGGATGGAATTCGTTCACCAAATAAATATGTCCACTATTTCAGTGAATGTAAGGGAAATGTTGGAAAACAATGATTTCTTCTCGACTCTATCAAAAGAATACTTTTTCCCAACAATTAAAGATGCCTTTTGTTTCGCTGTCACGACAAGGTTAATGCGAAATTCAGATGACATTCACATTTGAATCAAATTTTATTCGCATCTTATCTGGTAATATTACCTCGATGCCATTTACTGTATGCAGTGTTCATTCTCAAATCATCCAACAAAATGCTCGAACAACGTATCACTACGGCGAAACACATGCTCATTCCACGATCACACGGCATTTCACAATTGATTAGTTGTTGTTGTCAATTGATCTAACCCATCAAATTGATGTTTGTCAATAAAATTCATCTTTTTCACATACCAGTTATGAAATAACAAACTACAGAGAATTAAGTCTCAATATCGTATGAATATGGAGACCTAATTCTCTGTAATTTGTTAGCCACGGATTAAGATGAGTCATTTGCTGAAAAGAGACAGAGTACTTCGTTTCGCCTTAATAAATGAATATTTCATTGAGAGCAAGTGAAAATTCAGATGGAATTCTAATTTTTACGATACATTTCAGCGAGAAACCACCACTTATTTCGAGTGTGGCAATTGCGAAAACAGCTGAATCAGGCGGTTTGGGTAATGTTAAGTTCACTGATCACCCGTCAGTACCTGATACTTCTTTGCCTGTTACAATTCCAATTCGGAGTACAGACGACGTCGATGTTTGAGGTCACCATTATATCATCGTTCTCATATCACTACCATATCATATCATACAACAAAACATCAAGCAACTACCCTTTTGAGGCTCTTTGGTTCCGGATCTGCAAGGGACGTGTTCAACTCTGCGTAAAGTTGACTCCTTTACAAGGATGTCGCTTTACATGATGATGATTAATTATTTTGTTTCATTTCAATTGTTTGTTTTACAATAGATTTACTAACGATACGGATCAACTTTTTTCTATTATTGTGATCAGTATAAATCTTGTGTGAACGCATTAAATAAACTTGATTGTATTGCGCAAATATGACCTGCATGATTCACATTGAAGTGATTTTCAGCGAAGTGTTTTTTTGCTTCATTTCGTCACCCATTTCAATGTGTAAAACCTACATTCCACAATAAAATCCATGCTATAGAATAATAAAATGTTCCCATGATTTAAATATTCACGACAAATTCTCTTCAAAAACGCCATTGTGGTGATTCGCATTCCTGATCACAACA